TATACATACGTATGCAAAATATATAAATACCCATACATTTATATTTTTAGAATAAAAATTCCAAGAGGAAGAATCCAGGTAGAACTCAATGTCCAGGACAGAGTAAGGATATAATAAAAAGGCTTAAACACTAATATTCCATGGTCATAATTTATTCCATTGGAATCGTAACTACGATCCAATTCATCAGGCCTACAAATTCAAAAGGAAAACAGAAAAAAAAAAAAAAAAAAACAACTCCGGAAATAAAAACAGAATTTAGAGAGAGTGTAATTATGAGGGGGAGGGAGATTAAACCATAACAGAGAGAATATTAGGGGAGGTGGGTGGAAGGGGTTTACGCACCACATGTGACACGACACACGTCAAGTCGGTAATCCAGCTCCTACCAAACACGCTGTAGCATGTCTTACGTAACATATATATATACCCATACATGTATATTTTTAGAATAAAAATTCCAAGAGGAAGAATCCAGGTAGAACTCAATGTCCAGGACAGAGTAAGGATATAATAAAAAGGCTTAAACACTAATATTCCATAGTCATAATTTATTCCATTGGAATCGTAAATACGTTCAAATCCTGGGCAATCCTCCGAAGCCTCTGTGCGGATTTATCTCAATGTGAATCTACCAGGAAGATGGATTAACCGTGCGATTGATAACGACAAGTTGTAGAAATGGCCACACCGTTCACCTGATTTGACACCACGTGATTTTTTTTCTAGGAGCGTTGTGAAAGGGAAATGTTACTCAAGACATACTACAGAAGTTAAGCAAAATTTCCTACGTATTCACCAAATCACACACCTCTAGACTTTTCTTAAACGACTGTCAATAATTTTGCGTGTATTTTTCCTAATGCGCATGTGTAAAAACAGGAAACTACCTGTATTTTTTTGGATACCTCTTTCTTCGCTGACTAGAAAATATTTCTTTAATTCAGAGGATTCCAAGGATCGATAAAAAGTCAGTGTCGACGCACACCTGCTTCTACTCATCGAGCGAAAGAAACCCAAAGATAATCTTCTGCGTTTAAGTAATAATTTTAAAAAATAAAATGAAAGCGAATTCAAATATTTCTACACTCGACATAAAGATGAGTCTCTGTAATGATTCGCAAATGTAACTTTTTTCTCGTTTTCTTCTTTCTTAAAGAAAGGAGAGATTTTGCGCGACGATTATCGTCCTGGAAAATGAATTCGAGTTCAAATCCTGGGCAATGCACTCAGTTTATGCTTTTCTCCTACATTTCGCAGACGCCACCACCCGAAATCGACAAACCCAACCAACGTTTCTAACATCCACCCATTCAGGTGGTCAGTCTTCCTACAATCATTTTAGTCGACAAGAAACCCATAAAAATAAACTGTCTAGCTTACATCGTGAAAATGGGAAATTTGAATTCATGCTCAAAGACAGAGAAACGTGTACTTTTTAATAGCGTATGCAAAGGAGTTCGATTATGTTGGCCATGAACACATGTTCGAACTGCTTAGCATCCTTGACATATTTGGGAAGTATATTGAAATAATCCATAACCTATAGTTGCAGAAAACCACCTGCATACGGGTAGAAAATGTCTTCAGTAAGTGTCTTAAAATCACTGGAACAAGAAATGCAATATTTATGCTCCGAACGATATCAGGAAGAACTATACGAAGGTAAAAGGATGCATACCTCATATTTTATAGATTATGCAAACGCGTTCGATAAAGTACGCATGTGGGAACGATATCCGAATTATCCTGCGACTCGAGTTCAGTCACTTTCCAGCAGCCATAAAAGTTACCTCCCTCTGCCTTTTCTTTTTATAAATAATTGTTCGGATTGTTGTTTTATTCCCCACCCCCATAGACAATGAATTGTACATATGGGATCAGGTTCGGACTTTCATGGAGACAATGCGGTATTATGGTGGATGTAGTAAGAAAGGTAAGTAAGAATGTGTTGCTTTGATGTAAGGAATATTATTGTATGTTTGAGTAAGTGTTTGTAGCTAGCTAGGTTTAAAGTTAAGACAAAAGAAGACCGCTCCTTTCACCCCACCCCCCTTCTGCCACATTTTGTCAATAAATTGCAAATAAATATCGCTATTCGCTATGGTTAACTTACCTAGAGAGTTTATGCTTATTGATCACTTTTATTTCAGTCCCCACTTTCTTTAGTTTAATTCCCCCTCCTCTCCTCTTTTAGGTGACCAGAGATGTCAGTTCTCTGGTGGATGCGGGACTGCTTTCGTATTTCGTTTCTTCTTTTTCCTATTTATTGTTGTGTTTGGATGAGTATGTGGTTGAGTGAGTTGTTGAACGATTGACAGTTTTATATTATTAAAGCTTCGTATAAATTTCCTCCCGTTAACTGATGTTTCTGCCACATTTAAGGATTTTGATTTTTTTTTATTACTAATATTATTTTGTTTGGTTTCTTGTATATAATTTTGTTTCACATTTGTAAATATCCATTGGCGTTTAGATTTTTAAAAATGGTTATTTTATTCCCCTCCTGCAACAGACAATGAATTGTACATATGGGGACTAGTTAGTATTTCATAGAGACAATGAGGTATTATGGTGATTGTAGCAAGAAACGTAAGTAAGAATGTGTTGTTTTGATGCTAGGAATATTGTTGTATATTTGGGTCAGTGTTTGTGTCTAGATTAGTTTAATGGTATGACAGAAAATGACGGTCCTCCACCCCCATTCACAATTTTGGCCTTGTGCCACATTTTGTAAATTTTAAAATAAATATTTTTCTTCGGTATGGTTAATTTAGCTAGGGTGTGTATGTTCATTGACTCTTTTTTGATTTCTGCCCCCACTTTCTTTAGTTTAATTCCCCCTCCCCTCCTCCTTTATGTGACCAGAGATGTCAGTTCTCTGGTGGATGCGGGACGCCTTTCGTATTTCGTTGCACCTTTTTCTTATTTATTGTTGTGTTTGAATAAGTGAGTGATTAGACGAATGAGCGTTTTATAATATTAAAGGCTCGCATAAATTTCATCCAGTTAACTGATGTTTCTGCTACCTTTAAGGGTTTTGGGGGGTTTTTTTATTACTAATATTAGTTTGTTTAGTTTCTTGTATATAATTTTGTTTCACAATTGTAAATATTCATTGGCGTTTAGATTTTAAAAATGATTATTTTATTCCCCTCCCGCAACAGACAATGAATTGTACATATGGGGACTAGTTAGTATTTCATAGAGACAATGAGGTATTATGGTGATTGTAGTAAGAAAAGTAAATAAGAATGTGTTGTTTTGGTGTTAGGAATAATTTTGTATGTTTGGGTCTGTTTTTTTTTTTTTTTTTGTCTAGATAAGTTTAATGCTCGAAAACAGAAAACCGTTCTTTTTCCCCATTCGCCATTTTGGCCTTGTGCCACATTTTGTAAATTTTAAAAATAAATATTGCTCTTCGCTGTGATTAAATTAGCTAGGGTGTGTGTGTTCAGTGCCTCCTTTTATTTCTACCCCTCACCCCTACTTTCTTTACTTTAATTCCCCCTCCCATCATCCTTTAGGTGACAAGAGATGTCAGTTCTCTGGTGGATGCGGGACGCCTTTTGTATTTCGTTTGTGCATTTTTCCTATTTATTGTTGTGATTGAATACGTGAGTAGCTAAGTGAGTGATTGGACGAATGAGCGTTTTAGATTATTAAAGCTTCGTATAAATTTCTGATGTTTCTGTGACAATTAAGGATTGTGGAGGACTTCATTACCAACACTATTTCATTTAATTTCTTGTAAATAGCTTATTCCATATTGTAGATACACACTAGGGTTTAGATTTTTAAATACTTGTTTTATCGCCCTAACATAGTACATATGGTGACTAATTAGGATTTCATGGAGATTCTGAGGTATTATGGTGTCTGTACTAAGAATGGTAAGTAAGAATGTGCTGTTTTGGTGTAAGGAATAGTGTTGAATGTTTGGGTCAGTGTTTGTAGCTAGCTAAGTTTAGTGTTAAGACAGAAATTATCCGTCCTCCATTTCTCCTTTTAGACTAATACCACGTTTTTGTATTTTATTATAAAATAAGTCTTCGATATGGTACCGAAACTTTATGAATTTAAGCGCAATGCCAGACTGACGGCAAGGTTAATCCACGGGATACCGTAAGGTAAGTTTCAATTATGTTGTGGAGTATTTTCACAGTGGGGGCTTGTATTTCTAATAAGTCGTCCTAAATTAGGTCCGACGTACAAAACGTTAGGAACTTGGAAAATAAGAGTCAATGACGCAGCAAATCTAGTTGTGATGGTTGGTACTTCAAATGTCCGAATCTCGACTGACGCGCTCAACACCATTCAGTATTTATCGTTCCACCCACGAGGACCGAATATGGCACAAGGCCGGTTTTAATGTGGGTATCCCCGAGCCCGTAGGCCCGGCCAAAAATATAGCCTTTGAACCCGCCTAGACGGGTTCAGGCCCTGTCTACCTCCCCGGACGAAACCTTGCCCTTCGGCAAAGCCTCGCCCGGGTTCCTCTCTGCTAACGCAGAGAGTTCGACAGAAGGCGTGCGCAGTCAGAGACCGCTCAACACCATTCTGCCAGACTTGCCACTGCTACTCCTACTTATTATCTATGGGAGAGTCCACTACAATAGGATAGGTACCTAACAAATTACCTACTGAAGAAAAGGATATCTTTCGTTGGGATGCTTCGAAGTTTATATTTCGATAGTTTTCAAAAATGAAAATAACACTGATATCTCATTGGAGCAGAGATATTTACTAAAAATTACACAAAAATATCTTGAAATACAAAAGTGTAAACTTATTCAATAAAATTGCCATAGGCTTCAACCACAGCCTCTAGAAGACTTCAGAATCTCCCGCATCTCTTCTGGACGGTCTCCTTGTTTAAGTTGGTGAAAGTCTGCGCGTGAACTTGTCGGGAAAATGAGATTCGAAAACTCAATTGAACGTGTCGATTGTGCTTGCTGTGTCGTTGCCGAGCTTTCTGCACATTTTCCGCGCTGACTAGTATGAGATTTGCTCGAAAAAGCAAAGGTTGTTACTCGAACAGCTTTCGTCGATTGCGAGTGGACGAGACCGGCGCAGCGAGAGACGGCACGGCACGAGACGCCGGCCGACGATCCCGGCAACGGAAGAGGTCGCTGCCCGCCGCCATAATCCTTGCTTTCAGTTCATCTTTGGTGTTGCAAGAAGTTTTTTTGGTCTCCTGCTCAACTGCGCTCCTCACATATTAATCAAGTGAGTTACAGTTTGGGGAGTTAGGTGACCAGATGCAAGGGGTGATGTGGTCGCAGAAATTGTTTAACAGCCATGACTGGGTTTTCCTGCTCGTGTGGTATGGTGCAGAGTCCTATTGCCAGTTATTAGGGTCTTCCAACAGCTACTCTCTTGATTCAGGGCAGCACTTTCTCCTCAAGAGACGTGAGTTAGGGCTCACAATCAACATATTTGGGAGACGTGAGTTAGGGCTCACAATCAACATATTTGGGAGTCATTTTCTTATGAAAACGATCAGAGTGATTTTTCCAAACTGCCGTACCTTCGTAATCACCATTAGACTCATTCAACTTCATTCCGAATTATTTTACAGTGTCCTCAGATTGACACCAAAACACTCATGAAATGTTCGCATTGGAGCTTCCGGCGCGAATGCCAAGCCGTACAGATTACCGTTTCAAAATTTCTGGTGGAGTGAATTGCGTCATGGTGCTCTTTTTCACCCACAGACAGTGCCCCAACTGACCCTACCCCATACTGTGGAGTCGACAAAATCAAAAAAAACAACGCGCATGCGCGAAATTAAAAATATAAAATTACGACTATGTGCCCATCGCTCTCTCTCTCTCTCTCTCTCTCTCTATATATATATATATATATATATATATATATATATATGTATTAGTTCCATTTCGAAAATTCGCTTGAGGAGGAAATGGAACTAATTTCTTTAATTTAATTACAAAATTAAATTCGGGGCTTTTAGCTTCCATTTTTGAAACATGGTTAGAACTGTGTAACGAAAAAAAACATATTTTAAATCAATTAATTTATAATATTAATGCTCTGTAAATTTACATTGAGCACCATTTTGTAAAAATAAAAATATCTATAAGAACACCGGATTATATATCTTACTGTTCTTTCTTTTTTTTTTTTATTATATATATATATATATATATATATATATATATATATATATATATATATATATTTTATTTTATGTATATTTATTTTATGTTTATATTTATATTATATATATTTATTTTATTTATAGTATTTATTTTGTCTATCGGTATACGCATTCGAAAAAAACTAATAAATGCCTCGGCACTTTTTAAAAACTTTTCTCGTGCGTCCATTCAGGTTCTGTAAGCTTTTGCTGTGTGGGTGGCGTGATGGATAATATTTCGGCAATGTTCATCGGAGAGCCGAGTTCCAATTCCAGTTGGGTTCGTTGTATTCACTTATGAACAAATCCCGTACCCCTAACCCACCCCACCTATCGGTTGTCTAGTAAGACTTGTATCAGGTATCTCCAAAAATATTTGAAAAATCTTACAATGCAAAATCTTCCATTTTTCTGGCTTGGAATGCTCTGTAAAGTGTTGGCAAAATCGTCTGAAATGAATAAATCAATCGATCGATCGCGTGTACAGGCCGGTAGACGAGCTAGAATTACTGACCCAAATATAATAGAATTCCTTACACCAAAACAACACATTCTTACTTACCATTCTTACTATGGTCACCATAATACCTCTTAACCTCCATGAAGTCCTAATTAGTCTCCATATGTACTGTGTGTCGGGGATAAAACAGCTATTTAAAAATCTAAACCCCAGTGTGTATCTACAATATGAAATAAGCTATTTACAAGAAATTAAATAAAATAGTGTTAGTAATAAACTGTGTTTAAAAATCTGAGCAAAGTTAATAAATAAGAGTCTATTATATTTTCTCTAGTATACAGGTCGGTAGATAAAATAAACACTGTTTTTTTACAAACTTGAGCGTCTATTTACATACAGGTAGCGACTAAAAATAACGTTAGAATTAATCTGCGTGCGTGTGTACGTGTTGGGAGAGAGAGGACCAGGGAAATTGAGATGCCTTCTAGAGAACAAGCTGAGTGCTTCTTTGTCCTTCATGCCTCATGCAGTGGAACATAGCTATTTAGATGGACAGGAGTTGGAAACACTTTCTGGTACAAAACTGAGGGGAAAAAAAAAAGAAGTATAAGAGCCGCTTACCCTGCCTTGAACAATCCCTCAAGGTCCAAGGTGTAAATGCTTCGATAAGCAGCCATGATAATTTACGGGCGCATCACTCCAAAGAGGTATTTTCGTATATATATATATTTTTTTATCTCTCTCTCTCTCTCTCTCTATATATATATATATATATATATATATATATATATTTATTTATTTATTTATTTATTTTTTTTTTTTTTTTTGGAACACGCTGAGAAAAGTGTTTTTTTTTTTCTTTTTTTTTAGGTCAAATCTTTCCATTCTACCGTCTCTTTTATCTTGGGTGTATATCCCTAACGTCACTCGTGTTCCCTATGAAGGGAACTTTGCCTATGAGACTTGTCATTAAAAGCTGTTCTATTCAAAATAACCCCGGAAAAGGAGTGACCAACCCCACTCTTGTAAACGGATCTTTTCACATGTGTTTCCATCAACTTATGACTGTCTGTCTCACTTTTATCCATATATATATATATATATATATATATATATATATATATATATATATATATCAACAAACCTATCTCTCACGCAATGTTCACTATGACTACTTCAAATCACCTTCTTCTAAATGATGAATTCTCTTTCTATTACTCTCTTTATTTCTCTCTCTCAATTTCTTTATTTCCTCTCGATCGTTTCTCTTGAACATGAACTCATCTTCATCTCTCGCTGTCCGCTTGGCGCTCTCTCACTCTCTCTTTCTCTGTTTGTATCATACTTTACTTGTCTCAGTGTGTTCATATCTATCTATCTATCTATCTATCTATCTATCTATCTATCTATCTATCTATCTATCTATCTATCTATCACAGTCTGTTCATTATCTATGTATCTATTGATATCAGCTTGTTTCTATCTATCAATCTCTCTGTCTATCCCGATTTGTTCATATCTATCTATCTATCTATCTATCTATCTATCTATCTATCTATCTATCTATCTATCTATCTATCTATCACAGTCTGTTCATTATCTATGTATCTATTGATATCAGCCTGTTTCTATCTACCAATCTATCTCTCTGTCTATCCCGATTTGTTCATATCTATCTATCTATCTATCTATCTATCTATCTATCTATCTATCTATCTATCTATCTATCCCCGTCTGTTCCTTATCTATCTATCTATCTATCTATCTATCTATCTATCTATCTATCTATCTATTACAGTCTCTTCATTATCTATGTATCTATTGATATCAGCTTGTTTGTATCTATCAATCTCTCTGTCTATCCCGATTTATTCATATCTATCTATCTATCTATCTATCTATCTATCTATCTATCTATCTATCTATCTATCTTTTTTCCTTTTTATCTTTCACTTTTTACTCTCGTTGCTGTCTTTATCTATTTTTATCCTTCTTCCCTTCCTTTTGTTTTCGCTTTCGTTTCTGTCTTTTCATATTCCACTCTTTTCTTTCTTTCTTTGTTTTTTTCTTTATTTCGTTCTTTCTTTCATTCTTTCTTTTTTTTATTTTGTTTTGTTTGTCTTTCTTTCTTTTTAGTCTCCGTCATTTCTTTTTGCCTTTCTTTCTTTTTCTCCTTCCACGTTTCTTACATTTTTTCTTTTCAAGATTTCTTTCCCCCTCTTTAACATTTTTGCTATATTTTTCCATCCTTCCTCTTCTTTCTTTCTTTCTTCCTTTCTTTCTTTTTTTCTTTCTTTCTTTCTTTCTTTCTTTCTTTCTTTCTTTCTTTCTTTCTATTTCCCCACGTTTATTTATTTCTTTCTCCTCTTTCTTTCTTATTTTCAATATCATAATCTTTCTTTCCCCTCTTTAACTTCTTTTGCTATGTTTTTACATCCTTCCTGCTCTGCTTCCTTCCTCTTCTGCTTCTTTCTTTCTTTCTTTCTTTCTTTCTTTCTTTCTTTCTTTCTTTCTTCCCACGCTTCTTTCTTTCTTTTCAATACCATGCACTTTCTTTCCCCTCTTTAACATCTTTTGCTATGTTTTTACATCCTTCCTCCTCTACTTCCTTCCTTCCCTCTTTCTTTCTTTCTTTCTTTCTTTCTCCCCACGCTTCTTTCTTTCTTTTCAATACCCTACACTTTCTTTCCCCTCGTTAACTTCTTTTGCTATGTTTTGTTTCCATCCTCCCCCATCTCGTTCCTCTCCTTCGTTTTCTTTCTTTCTTTCTTTCTTTCTTTTTTTCTTTCTTTCTATTTACTCTTAATCATCCAGATTCCCTCCGGCCTTCTTTTTTTGGTCATGTTTTTTTCTTCTCGACGGTTTCAGTCTGCCATTATTGCTATGGCCCAAGATCAATTTCACTTTAATTGTCTGATGATTTTCTTTCTTTTTATTTTATTTATTTATTTTTTTTCCCATGACTCCATCCTTAGCATTTGACAAAAGAGTTTTTCTTATTCTTTTCCAGAGTGCTGGGTTGAGACGCCCCTGACCTGCGGGTCAAGTTTCTGAAAGTGGAAATCGCCCTCGTCTAGGGCCAGTCCACCATTTGGAAAACCTGTTTTTCTTCCAGTCCATATTTAGACGAAAAGGACAGAAAGGCTTGCGAGCCAAATCATATCACGCCTTTATAGCAAAAACGGACAAACACAAATGGTTTTGTCATCTACTGATATCCTTTTTTGAACACTCGTACACACACACACAGAAAAAAAAAAACACGAAAAAGACGGAAGAAGAAATGCGAGAGAGAGAGAGAGAGAGAGAAGAAAAGCTGATATTTATCTAAACAAAAATCTGTAATGCTCACTGGACCTAGAAATCAAACAGAGCCGTAATAATTACAAACACCAAACAGCTCTCAGAGACTCAGATAAAATCCTTACTCTGAGTGCCAGAGAAAAGAAGATAACAACAAAAACTGCAATATGAGCTCTAGTAAAAAACATTAATTGATAACAGCAAAAATTGCAATATGAGTACTGTTAAAAAATAATGGCTGAAAACATTAGGTTTATAATACCCAGAAATTCATACATAGATGTTTTCAAGGACACATGTCTCAGTGGATAAACGCGTTAGTTAGATCCATGTGACAGGACCCAAAGAGTGTGAGTTCAATACCTGGTTAAGGCAGTGGAGAACTATCAGAGGTAAATTAACAGGAGATAACTGATGACTGACATCCATTAGACATGGCACATGGAACTAGAACAGTCTACTCCAATGAACTAGATTCCAAGCAGAAGAGGTGCGTACAACGGCCTAAACGATGTAATAAATATGGCGACAAAGATGCGGACAATAGTCCGAATAATGTAAATAGTGTACATAATACTTCATCTCAGAAATATAAGCAGATACTGAAGGGCCGAAACGTTGAAATAAATATGGCGACAAAGATGAGAACAATAGTCAGAATAATGTAAATAGTGTGCATAATACTTCATCTCAGACATATAAACAGATACTGAAGGGCCGAACGTTGTAATAAATATGCCGACAAAGATGAAGACAATAGTCCGAATAATGTAAATAGTGTACTCATCTCAGAAATATAGACAGATACTGAAGGGGCGAAACGTTGTAATAAATATGGCGACAAAGATGAAGACAATAGTCTGAATAATGTAAATAATGCCTGAGTTTCACGTTAAGTCGATCTTCAGACGAAAAGATACCACATACTGACATTTTTTATCTAATTGAGTTGGGTTTTACAGTCAACAACATTGTTCGTACATCCATCAATTTTGAATATTTTTATCCATTTCTCAGAGATTAATGCCCGTATGATGCAAGGCTTTTTATATATTAGCAAACCCAAAAAAGGAATATAAAACTCTTTTTATGAACAATAGGTTAAATACAACAAATTTGACAGATGAATTATGCAAAATAAGAAATGACAAAATTATTCGTACAGTATGAAAAATAGAAAAAAAACTGGACAATTTTCACAATATTAATAGTCAATATCATGGCCTCTCATCTTTATAACGTGCTGCAATCGTTTTCTAAAGCTTTTGACGGAATTTGAACAAGTTTTTTTTTCTGGGATTTTCTTCCATTCTTCAATATTCTTCACGTTCTAATTTCTGAAGGTCTTTTTGGCGATCAACGATTTGTTCGAACTTTAAATTCTTGCCTTAGATTTTCAATAAGATTCTGGTCAAAACTCATTGAAGTCCATGGCAGAACTGTAATCTTATTTTTTTGAAGCCAAGCAGCCACTGATTTAGACGTATGTTTGGGATCATTATATTACTAGAAAATTAATCGCCAATTTAGATGAAGATTTTGCGCTGATATTTGTAGATTTTCTCCAGAATTTTAATATAGTCTGCGGATTTTATTATTCCTCTTAATTAATTTACTTGTCCTTCTTGAGCTAAAACAACCCCAAAACATCATCGAGCCGCTTCTATGTCTTAATTTTCTCACTGTTTTCTTTGAGAGGAAAGCTTCACCTTTATTGCGCCAAATCTTCTGTACATCATTATGTCCAAAAAGCTCAGTTTTTATTTTGCAGTGATTACTACTATGTTTGCCACGCCTACATTTTTTTCAACTGTGATTGGTCAAATAATAAATACTAAATATCACAGGACAATTTACTGATCGCATTCATCACACTGAATGTTTCCTACCGTTTAATCACAAATATGTTTTCTTATAAAATCACCGATTGGTTAATTTTTCATCCAATCAGATATTTTTCGTGTTTTCAAAATTTATCCCGCGTTCGTGCTGGAAGCCTACCGATAGTAAGAAAAAGTCCGGATTCATTCCAAAATTAAACAGTAGAGTTGAAGACAGTTGAACACAGTAGAACTTAACTACTCACACGCGTCTACACAGACTATTCATCCTACTCACTCCGCACGCACACACACAAGCACAGAACTTAAATATCATTCACCATCAGTTCTTTGTGAACAAGCCAAGTTGCAACAACTCTGTTAGTTATACAAAATATACAATTGAACTTTCTGTATGTTCTTCTGAATACACATTCTATTTTAACACAGAACTCTGAACATTATATTCAGAAAACTTGCTTAATTAAATTTACTAATTCAAAACAGATAAAGGGAAACTACTTTTTCTCCTTATTCACACATTACACAAATTACCTTGTATTTGTTGTTGATTTTAATATATATATTTTATCGTTGAAAGACAAATCGGTTTTCCATTGTTTTTCCTTGATTTAAAAAAAATGTATAAATGTTAAATGCTCTTCAACACGCAGCCACATTAATCTTTTCAACAAAACACCATTTACATTGGTAACCTCAACATTTAAAGAAAATAGCATTTACAATTTCATCACTCCATAATACTTGTTCCTAAAAGTAATTTTCTTTGTCTAAGAACGTTTTGGCAAAATTAAGACGAGCAACAATATGACATTGTTTGTGAAGAGGGCTTCGTTATGGTCGGTTTCAATACACACCATTTCTATTTAAATAACGTTGTATTGTGAGAGTACTTACGCTGCTAACCATTATATCCAAACTTTCAACAACAAGGCAAATTCTCTGTCGTGCCAAACTGTTTAAAGTTCTTTATAACGAACTCTACCATAGACCTGGGGATAGCTAACCGGTTTGAAATAATTCTGTAACTATTTCTCGACTTGTGGAAGTTAATAATTCTCTGTTTCAAGTCAACGCTAAGCTCCCTTGTACCTCATCATGTTGTTAACGTAAGAATAACAATGGTGGCGCTCTACGCACCACGTGATGTTCACAAATATTCTACGCACCACGTGATTATCACAAATATTCTACTGAATAAAAAGTCTAGAAGGCTTCACTGATGAAATAATTATGTAAATTACTTATACTTACACGAATCAATCAATTTAAAGCGATATTTCTTACTGTACGAATATTTTTTATTCCTATTTTGCATAATTCGCCTGTCAAATTTGTTGTATATGTATTCTTCTGAAAATTGAGTTTTATATTTCTTTCTTTGTGCTTATTAACAAATAAAAAAACTTACATACAGGGATTAGATTTTGAGAAATGGATAAAAATATTCAAAATTGGACGGGTGTACGAATAATTTCGTCGTTGTCTGTATCTATCTATCTAGCGATTTCTACATTTCGAGAAGTGCGAGCAATTGAATAGAATATACGGTTGCATCTAGCTAGTTCAACAATAAACGGCGAGGCCTAATAGTCAATCAAGTAACACACTTAAATTCGAGACCCCATGGAGGTAAGTTCATCAAAATAATTGCCATGGAAATATTTTTTTTAGAAAAGATAGTGAGGCCACGTCACGTCGGTGAAAATGTGACTGGCTGGGTATATAAGAAAGCATTCAAAGTCGGCCATATTTTTATCTGAGTTATTGATGTGGTATCGGGTAACTTGTTGCCTGGCTATAGGCTAGTATTTCCTCGATACCAGCTTGATAATTTGGGCGAAGAGTGTGACGTTGAGTGACCTGAAACCCTTTATTATCTCAGGATTACATTATTGACGATATGGCCAGGCACATCATCTTCCTGTATTTCTATATCTGAGGCCAGCTTTTATTCTGTGTCACGTTATCTTCATTTATTCGCTAATAATT